CCCCCTTACAAATAATTACAGGTGCTTTGCTCCAGCTACTTAAGAGATTCAGTTCCATACAGAAAGCCCAAATTCATATCTTCAGGTAACACAGAGTACATGGCAGACTTAATAATATTACTTTAGCGATAGTTTCAAGGTGTTGATTTATTGTATGTCTCGTCTCGTACCATGTCTTTCGGTTGTGCTGTTCTTTTTTCATCTCGTTACAGGTGATGAAGCAGACTGAAAATGTTTTGTAATTATCTCCTTTCTATCTCCTCTTTCTTTCATCTTTTCTCTTTTTTCTTTTTTCTTCATCTGTTTTTCTGCTCTATTTACATTGCAGTGTCCATAACTGTAAAACTCCTCACTTTTTTTTTCTAACTTTTTGTTTTATTATTTTAAAACAGGCTTTTTTTGATGCCACGAGCATCTTAATAAGTTGTGTTTTTGCGGTGTTGATTTAGGCTATTTATTAATGGTATTTGAAAAAGTTTCAAAATGTAAATGTTTAATTTTGGGAGGTCTCTGCATATGCATTTTGTCATAGAATAAACATTATCAGAACAATAAAAAACAAAAAAAAACACAGAAGCTGATTTATGCAATTAGATGGACTGATGAAATGGTGCAGCAGCCCCAGGGACAGGGTCTGTTGCAACAGTTCACTCTTGTCAGCACCAAGTAATCAGATTACTTGGCACTTAATTGGCATCTAACATATGATATTGACCATTAACAGGTAGATACAGCTTTAATAAATACATAAAATGCTGCTGCAGGACCATTCATCTCTGATTTATTGAGAAAGAGGGGGGGAAAAAAGGTTTCAAACGTCCTCTGTCGCCTCTATCCACAGGTAAAGAGGAGCCCTAATACCAAAGGAGAGCGCAGACTTCCTAAATTCAAATTTGACATTAGGGAAATTCTTAAAATGCCACTAGAGATCAAAAGCAGGAGTTTATCCTTTTAATTAAGTCCTCAAAAGATGAATAATCAAATGCACTCACCGAAAAAAAAAAAATCTATAAATTTAGAAAATTATATTTAAAGAGCAAACTAACCTGAAGTGAGAGGCACAAAGCCAGCACCAGAGCTGAGAGCAAAGCGACGCAAAGTTTGGTCATCTTGCTGGTTGATGATCAGGCAGCACTTCCAGATGGGTGGAAAATAGTTGCAAAAGTGATTCAAACAGGGGGTCCAAGGTGGTGATTTATACTGCAAGTGACATCAGCACAATCGTCATCAACCGCAATTTGTGATGCGCATGCCGCTATGGCAAAACGACCTGCCATAGCTTTAAGACAGTCTCACTAAGTTTTTATCGATCACGCATACACCATGAAATACGGTAGCAACGCTGTCTTGGACTTTCAAAATAAAACAGACAAATTGAACATGTGTTGTTAACATGGATTTATGCAAATAGTTTTAATGCCTTTATTTAGTTACTGTCCTGCGTGGTTAATATGTGCTCTTTATGTCAGAAGTCCAATTTATTTGAACTTAATCTCTATTGTTGCTAAACCAAAACTTTGTTTCTATTTACTGATTCCACTTCAGGGTGAAAATACAGTCCGTCTGATGTGGAATTTCAAAATTAAAGCCTCTCAAAACAGTTAAAGGTGCGCAATATTTTACTGTGTTGCTGGTTTGTCATTTAGATCCTTTTTTCATTATTTCAGCAATTCGTTTTTCTTCATTTAAATGATTTTGGTCTTACTGCTTGGAAAAACATATAGATTGGCTGTTATGAACTGCACAATAAAGTGGGAAAAACTGATCTGACTCTAGTCTCGGAGACAGCAGCTGCTTAATGGAAATGAGCCACTGTGGCTCATTTCCATTAAGCTGGAAATGAGCCACTTACTCAGTATGGAAATTAGCCACTTACTGAGTAAGATCATGGAAAAAGTTCACTATCTAAAATCGACTAATATTAAACATATTAGTAGCAGATCAAGTGAGGGATATATATGCACAAAACATGCACAAACAGGGATTATTAAATTAGAAAACAACTTAATAAAAAATATGTCAGATATGTAATGTGAAGAATGGTCAAGATACTTTTTAAAAGTAATCTTAATTCTACATAACCATTATGCAAGTAGATAAGTAAATCCTGCAAACATTGCACATATTTTTTTTTTTTTGCAAGGTTCAGTTTAATTCAGTATTATTGCCAATTCACAATCTTATCTCAAGGTACTTAACTACCACACTGTTAACCTGCAGTTTGTAAACAGGACAATCCAATCTTTGATATACGATATCCCGTCTTGTCTGAATTTAAAAGGGAAACTTTTTACATCTTCAAGACATCCCCGAGACTAATTGGTTTCATCAGGATTTATGAATGAATGAAGCTGTTATGGAAGCTTATTCTATGCTGTGTTGAAATTCTACAAGTTTAAAAGGGATATTGAGCAAAGAAAGAAGCACTGAACCCTGATATCCCTGTTGAGGTTTGAGCCTTCCTCTATTAAAGTTAACAGCAAGAAATTAGAGCCCTGATTGGATAACGCACCAAAAATATGTCACTTCAAGTCAGGCTAAACCTCTTAGGGAGTCTATGGAGCAGACGCGGACCGGGAAGCTGGCTCCTCCATGCTGATTGGCAAACATACTTAAGGATTTTTGATTGACAGGGGCCAGAAGTTTATTTTATTAGTTTATTACTTTCAAAACACTTCACAACAGCTATTTACAGCTATTATGTGTGTGTTTCTACATTTTTTAAATAAAAATATATTTATGCAAAACAGGACATTTGGATTTGATTAACACCATAGAGCCTCCCTTGTTTTAGTGAGCAGCAACTTCATTGGATTCAAACCATTTTTTTGCTGTTTCCTGAATCCCTACATAATGTTCAATCCTTTCTAGGAGAACAGCTTTATTCACTGCAATGAATACAGCGCCTGATCTAACAGGATAAATACAGACAAGTCCATAAATTTATTGAATTTACCAGTGATTTTGGATGCCAAGATTGGCTTTCAACATGACTGAAACTCTTCACATAGGTAAAAATGGTGTCAACATTCACACACTTGATTAGCAACTGTTTTCTCAATCATTTTAAATAAGAACTTTAGATGTTTATGATTTGCTTAGTCCTCTAAAGGTTTGGTTACAGCTACCTTAACAGCCTCTGGCACATATTCCTGTACTGGTGTGGATTCATCATATCCAAAATAAGGGTGCAAATCATACGGAAAATGTCCTTAAATAACTTGTTTGGGATGGGGTCCAGCATACAAGCTGGTTTAGATTAGGCTAATATTTTAGATGATTCCAAAAGCTGAACTGGATAAAAGAGACCAGGCTCTATTGGTAGCTCACGAACAGAACTGTTAATATTCAGAAAGATGCCAATGACATTTCTAAAAGAACCAATCCTATTTATAAAGAATCCCATAAAATCATTGCTGCTGAAAGATGGCGAAATGGAAGAAAGTAGCTATGACTGTGCAAGTTTTGACATCTGCATTAAATAGAAACCCAGGGTGGCAATGCACGAGGCAGTAAAACTATTAAAAGTATTTGTAAAGGGGTAGAAACTGTATTGTACAGTGTCGATGCTGAGGAAGTAAAGGGAGCAGATTTGTCCTTTTGGAGAGAGAATAAATCCAAATTAGCCTTGGATTAAAAATCCAGATGGCACTTGTGAGGAAATAATTTTCACTGCCGTATGTCAGGACAAGATCCTAAGTATGAAAACAAAAAGGCATTCTGTGCAGATTCAGAGAAAAGCCAATTGGGTTTGCGTTAGCCAATTATTGGTGTCTGACTAATATAACCCCATACTGCAGTGAACTGTATGTCATAATCCCAAACCAGATATCAAGTATTGGAACTTAAAAAACTGCAAGAGCCTGTTAAATGTTAAATTATATTATCTGGCCAGCAGATTTTAAGTGGTTGCTCAATCAGCAACTCTACAAATGTAAAAATAAAAGGAAACTTTAAAATCCTATCACTGACAGGTTTGATTATATCAGGTCAGCAAGTCTTTGCATGGATTATACAGTCAAACTAGGACTGAAAGGTTGTGCAAAAAAAAAAAAAAGCAATTTTGCACTAATGAGCATATATACACTTCAAGTTTACATGGTTTCATTACTTTAAAAACCTATGTGAAAAAGGGCTTGATTTTACCTATGCATAGATCTGCAACTTGCATGTGACCCAGTTTATGCATATTACAGCCACCTAAAGGGCTGGAGTGAAAAAGCCAGTGTCTCAGTCCTGTTAATGTGCCCAACATTGAGCTTTTGCTATTTGACCATTGCCATTTAGATTCAATATTTAAATTGAATTGTGCAACCCCAAAAGTCAAGCCACAGGATGCATGAATTGAGTAAAGTTCCTAAAAATTTCAAACAGCTTAAACTGTTCAAGCCAGCCACATCACAGCTCTGGTTTCAAGAGCAGTTTGACCACAATGTGGCGACAAGTCAACATTGCTCAGCAAAACAAAGAGGTGAGAGACGTGGAGTCAAGTCATCTCCGTTATGCGTTTGTTCTGCCCTGCCACTGATCCAGGTTAATCTAGCATGCAAAATTTAAAATCAATGTGTGGTTTGAGCTCACCAGGTTCAGTGGCTGGACAGATGACTCCACATCTCCAACCCCTGCAAATGAAGGCCGAGTGGAGACCTTCCCCTTCATTGACTGCAGTCACCATTACACAAGTCAACTTTTCTATACAGCTTTATTCAGTCAGGTTAAAAATTTCCATAGCTTATACAAAACGTTAACAAGGCCTTTCAAAACTCACATTTCTGAGACATCACAATGAACACAGATTAAGGTCAAAATTATTTTCACCAGTATGTAAAACATTAGACAGTGCTTTTTCAAAAAAAAAAAATTACACAAGTTGGACCAGATCATAAGAAGAACCGGTTCAGTGCATAACAGACATCCAATTGTCCCCAAACTCCAACATATAAAGTGGCTTCTTGAATGTGGCAATGAAGCTCCCCAAAGGAAAGGCAACAATTTAAGTAGACAGAAGTCCAGTTTGATCCGGGCCTTTTACCGGGACCAGTGGTGCATAAGAGGAAACACCAGAATCAGGCAGAGCAAGAGCACCGGATACACGCCATCCTTCCCAGAAGGGCTGCCTGAGGTGGAATTGAAGGTGGAATTTGTCACAGAAACTGTACTATTGATGGTTGATGAGACACTGGCAGAGACCACTCCAATCTCAGTAGGGGGCAAGCTGACGGCGCCATCATCAGTTGGGGTCACGCTGGCGGCGCCACCATCAGTTGGGGTCACGCTGGCGGCGCCACCATCAGTTGGGGTCACGCTGGCGGCGCCACCATCA